TATTGTATATACATAATGTCATATATACATAAGCCATAATTATACATATAGCATAATTATGATAATTGTATGTTTCTCAGAAGACTGTTCATGGAGGAATTCTTCTAGAGACAGAATTATGGGACTTTTTCGTGTGTTTTTGCGCTATATCTCACGTAGCCCAGGATGGATTCAGACTCAACATGTAGCTGAGGGTGACCTTAAAAACCCACCCCCCAAGTGCTGAGATTCTAGGTATCTGCCACCATGGCCAGCTGGAACACTGTTTTTTGAAAATTTTTCTCTAATGAGTATTTTTTTCTTTTTTTTTTTTTTTTTTTTTTTTGGTCTGTTTGGGACAGGGTCTCCCTATAGCCCCAGCTGGCCTGGAACTTGCTATTGAGACCAGGCTGGCCTTGAACTCACAGAGATCCTCCTGCCTCCACCTCCCTAGTGCTGGGATTAAAGGCATGTGCCACCATGCCTGGCTGAGTATTTTTTTCTATATTTGCTCTTGAAAGAGAAAAGACTAAAACATTTATTTATTGTTAGTTGTATTTTCAGTTAGAGACCTCTATTACAAAGATTTGGGCTAACTGGGCGTCATAGGACACTGTCAGTATTAGCATAAAACAGTAATTTAAGAGCCAGGTATGGTGGTGCAGAGGCAGGAGGTCTGCCAGTTTGAGGTTAGCTTGAGGGACTTAGAAAGACTAAAACATAATTTTTAAGAACCCTAACGACTCTTTCCACCAGAGGGCAGTCTTCTTAAATTTTATATTGTCCCTGATGCTGACGGTTTGAAGAGGAACTTTTCAGGGTTTCATTTCAATCCAGCTGGGAGACTCGAGCCTACTTATTTATTTGCTTGGCTTTAAATAAATTTTTCATTTTGGAATAATTTTAGATGTAAGAAAATTAACAAAATTAGTACAGAGTTCTTGCTTGCCCTTTGCCTAGCTCCCTCTGTTTGGCCTTATGTAACCAACCATGATACATTTAGCAAAACTAAGAAATGAACACTGGCAGATTTCTATGAGCTAAACGACAGGCTCTTTTTGGATTGCAGTAGTCTTTCCGCAGTGTTCTTTTCTGTTCTGGGATACAGTCCAGGACAGCGTACTGCACTCAGTAGCATTTCTTAAAGAACAAATGCACACTGACTGTAATAACCACAAATTACCGCTTGCATTCTGCGTAGATATCTATATTTTCTAAGGAAAAGTGAAGGTTAGCACCTTTTAGTTTAACTTCTCTTCTTTCTGCCGGGACAATTTTACATTACTAAGCTTTCCCAACCCTTACTGTATACCATCTAATTTCTAATTTTTTTATAAGAATGTGTGGAACCATAATTTTAGTAATTTGTTATCTCTTTTCATTAATTTTCCCCATTTATGTTCCTCCAGAAGATTATTATTAAAGATCCACGTTCACGTGGCTCTTCAATGTTCTTACTTGGAGAACCATTGCTGGCTTGCAGTGTTTCTGATCCATACCATCACTTTCCTTCTGAATAGTTTCCTCACCTCTTTGAGAGGCCAGAAGGGAGAATTAGGAGGCAAATATGAGAAAGAAGCAATGATATACATGTTGCTAACTATGAACAAAACAAAGCAAAAGGTGAATGCTAGCCAAGCATAGTAGGACACGCCTGTAACCCCAGCACTTGGGAGGCTGAGGCAGGAGAACGACAAGTTTCAGGCTAGCCTCATCTACATAGTAAGAGCCTGTCTCAATTTTTTATTTTATTTTTTTTAGATGGGGTCTCCTGTAGTCCCAGCAGGCCCAGAACTCACCATCTAGACCAGGCTGGCCTCAATCTCACAGAGATCCACCTGCTTCTGCCTGCCAAGTGGTGGAATTGAAGGTGCGTACCACCACATTTGGCTCAAAAATTATTTTAATTAATTAATTAAAATAAAAAGATACATGCTAGCAGGGGGCATAGCTCTGGTAGAACTAATGCTCAGGCCAGGTTTGGTGGATCATGTCTAAAATTTCAGGTCTTGGGAGGCTGAGGCAGGAGGACTGCTACAAGTTCAAGGCCAGCCTGAGCTACAATATGAGACCTTATCTCATAAAGTAAAAAATAGGGGCTGGAGAGATGACTCAGCGGTTAAGAGCACTGGCTGCTCTTGCAGAGAACCCGGATTCGGTTCCTAGCACCCACATGGTGGCTAACAACCATCATAAGCATAACTCCAGTTCTAGGGTATCTGACACCCTCCCCTGGCCTCTTGCATACAAGTGTTACACTTATATACATGTAGACAAAACACTCATGTACAAAAGATAAAAATAAATATTTTTAAAGTAAAACTATAGGGGCTGGAAAGATGACTCAGCAGTTAAGAGTGCTGGCTGCTCTGGCAGAGGACCTAGGTTCAGTTCCCAGACCCACATGGCTGCTAAATAACCCATCTATAGCTCCAGTTCCAGGGGATCCAATGCCCTCTTCTGACCTCCATGGGCACTGTATACACAGGTGCTCTTACATGTACGCCAAACACTCATGCACATAAAATAAAAATAAAAAAGAATTTTTAAAGGTTTTTATTTTATTTTTATGTGTATTCGTGTATTACCTGCATGTAGGTAAGTGCACCTGTGTCCTGCAATGCCCTCGGAGGACAGAAGAGGCTGTCGGATCCCCTGAAACTGGAGTTACAGACAGCCTGTTAGTTGCCATGTGGGTGCTGGGATTCGAACCCAGGTCTTCTGCAAGAACAGCCAGTGTTCTTAACTGCTAAGCCATCTCTCCAGCCCCCAGAAAGAATTTTTTAAGAGGTATAGTGACACACACCTTTAATCCTCACACTTAGAAGGCAGAGACAGGCAGATCTCTGTGAGATCAATGCCAGCCTGGTCTACATAGCAAATTCTGAGCCAGCTGGGGCTACAGGGAAACTCTGTTTCAAAGAGACCAATGAATGAATGACTAAATAAACAAATAAATAAATAAAAATATAAATAAATAAATCTCGGGCTTAGCATGCATGAGGCTAAGCGTTTTATCCCAAGTACTTCTTCCCCACAAAACAAGATGAATGTTAAGGCATCTGCACTGAAGTTAGCTTGGATGACACAGAGATTTTATTAGGTATAACCATGTCATTAGGCTTAAGATATATCTATGAAAACATTCTGAAGTATTTACAAAGGAGATGATGATTTACTTCAAAATGCCAAATGAGAAAACTGGGGAGCAGGATGTATCCTTTGCTGTTTGTAATTTTACTTTTGCGTGTGAATGAAAATCCTAAATTAAAATATTTAAAATGAACATTTAAAAGAGTTGAACAAGGGGCTGGAGAGTTGGCTCAGCAGTTAAGAGCACTGGCTGCTCTTGCAGACCTGGGTTTGATTCCCAGCATCCACAAGGCAGCTAACAGCCATCTGTAACTCCAGTTCCAGTGGATCTACTCCCTCTTCTGACCTCTGCAGGCATTGCATGACATGGGCGCACTTACATACATGCAGGCTTTACACTCATATGCATAAAATAAAAATAATAAATTAGTGGCTGGAGAGATGGCTCAGCGGTTAAGAACACTGACTGTTCTTGCAGAAGACCCGGGTTTGAATCCCAGCACCCACATGGCAGCTAACAACTGTCTGTAACTCCAGTTCCAGGGAATCTGACAGCCTCTTCTGACCTCTGCAGGCATTGCATGACATGGGCGCACTTACATACATGCAGGCTTTACACTCATATGCATAAAATAAAAATAATAAATAAAATATTTTAAGAATAAAATAAGAGTTGAACAAACCCAATATGACAGCACACATTGGTAATCCCAGCACTCAAGAGGTGAAGGGAGGAGGCTCAAGGCCAGCCTCAGTTACAGAGTGAGTTTAAGGCCAGGCTTAGCTACATGAGACCTTTTCTCAAAAAAAAAAAAAAAAAAAAAAAATCAATGAAAGGTCTGAACAGGCCAGGTTTTGTTTTCTTGTGCAAATAACCTTAAATCCTATAAATAGTTCAAACTGGCATCTAGCCAGGTTAATAGACACCCACGGATAACCTAAAAGCCCTCTGTATATGCCTAATTCTTCTGTCAGAAATCATGTCTCCCAGACACAGCATGAAGTGCTGGAGGATCGCAGGCAGACAGTGGTGCTCGCCCTCCACGAACCTGAATCAGGCATGCTTGAGGCTTGGAGAGGAACCAACCATGCAGCAAATGCTGAGTAAAAATGACTCTTGGCTACTGGCAAACGTCTTGTATTTCAAGGTGGAGATTTCATTTGTATCACTTTCTTAATTTTGTGGGTTTGCATTGAATCAGCTCAGCCATGTAGTTAATAAATGGGAGATTTACTGTTATTATTGTTACTACTACTACCCCTAATTTCTAATCAGGGTAATTTTTTTTCTTGGTCTTTTTTGAAACAGGGTTTCCCTGTAGCCCCAGCTGGACTGGAGTCACTGTGGAGACCAGGCTGGCCTCGAACTCACAGAGATCTGCCTGCCTCTGCCTCCCAAGTGCTGGGACTAAAGGCATGTGCCACCATGCCTGGCTCTTAATCAGAGTAATTTTTATTTTATTTTGTCTTTTTTGAGACAGGGTGTCCCTGTAGTCCCAGCTGTCCTGGAACTCACTATTTATTATTTTTATTTTATGTGTCTAAGTGTATTTCTTGCATGTGTGTTAGTGTACCCATGTCATGCAATGCCCAAGGAGGTCAGAAGAAGGTGTTGGATTCCCCTGAACTGGAGTTACAGATGATTGTTAGCCACCATGTGGGTGCTGGCAAGAGCCAGTGATCTTCACTGCTGAGGCATCTCTCCAGCCCCTCGTGATTATTTTCTGTTCATTTAACCAAATTACCAAATTAACTACTCTGCTAGTAGCTACTGCTTCTCTGCTTGCTGGAATCAGTTGTCTGTTTGTCCCCAACCATCCTAGGGTCTGTCTCCTGGCTCATTGAGCAGATGGGCTGGTGCTAAGCTCTGCTCTGTGACAGTGGAAAATCTACCCAACACTTTCTCTGTCTCTCCTTTTCTCCTACAGCAGAAGTATTGGGAGGCCCTAAACTCGGAGCAGGTATGGACAATTGTGCTGTCTCTGCTGGCAAAGACTTCCATAGATTTTTTCATTTCTGCTTTTATTAGACCCCTTTGGATTATAGACATGACAATTCTCTTAGATAAAAATAAATAAAGGAATGCAGGCTTGAGATGTAGTTTGGTGGTAGAATGCTTCTCCTACAGCAGAAGTATTGGGAGGCCCTAAACTCGGAGCAGGTATGGACAATTGTGCTGTCTCTGCTGGCAAAGACTTCCATAGATTTTTTCATTTCTGCTTTTATTAGACCCCTTTGGATTATAGACATGACAATTCTCTTAGATAAAAATAAATAAAGGAATGCAGGCTTGAGATGTAGTTTGGTGGTAGAATGCTTGCCTAGCATGTACAAGGTTCTATTCCCAGCACCTCAGAAAAAAAAAAAAGGGAGGGCACTTTTCTAGCTGAGCCATCTCTCTACTCCCTAAGAAAGAACCTTGAGGCCTATATGCCTATGAATGCTTATTTCAGATGCACATTACCCTTGGACATAGAGAACAGGGTAGAACCACTGGTGCTTACTGAATACTTAATGATGAGCATAAAGGACTGAGGATTGTGTTGCATTTTAGTTGGGGAGGAATTTGCCTAAGATCACAACTTTTTCCTCTCCAAACAATGTATAAATATTTTTTTAAAAAATTAAGGGACACACTGGCCTACCTCAAGGTGTTCTGAAAGGAGAGAATAAATAATGCCTAGAAAAGAGAAGGAGTTTCCTGGAGAGATAGGGTGTGAGTGGGAACCTTAGGAAAGGTTTTTGATGAATGGGTGGAGTTACAGCAATGGACAACACATGACCATGCCCAGGGAACCTGGTAGCCTCTTAGGATAAAGGAGAGGCAAGCTTGTCTGCAGTCAGGATGCATTATCTATGAAGAGTGGGAAAGATGGCCTGCTAATGTGGAGGGAGGGTGGGGTCAGACTCTAGGGGCCTCAAGACAGAAAGAGGAGCGAGCAACACTCTGTGGGCAGAAAAGCAATAATATTTCTATAAAGTTTTAGTCATGTCATCCACTAAAGTTCAGTGAAGGGATAACTGGGCACAGATTATCACAAAAATTTCTGAAAGTTTGGGCTCCTACATTAGTCATTTAAAAAGGAATGGCATGGCCATATTATAATCCAGGCCTGAGAATGCACTTAGAGATAGGCAACACCAGATGGAAATAATATGTTATTCCTCAGAATGGAAGGGTGTAAGGAGTTTAAGGGGCCCCAAGAGACCATGCTAGAACCTGTCTGACTTAAATTTTTTATAGTTGATCCAGAAAAAGTAGAGCAAAGTGAAAATTTCAGGACTGAACATTTTAAGCCCTTTCAATAAGGAAATGCTATGCCAAGGGAGGGAGAGATGGGGAGGCAGAGGGAGAGAGAGGAAGAGGGAACGGGAGGGAAAGGGGGAAGAAAGGAGAGGGGGAGAAAGGGAGAAGAAGGGGGAGGGGGGAGGGAGAGAGAGAGAGAGAGAAAAGAAAGATCAGGCAATAAGTCTAAGGATCTATGGGATTCGGGGGGATTTTCTCAGTTCAAAATTCTTTCTGCTGTGGAGAGTATTCAGATTAGCTCAACATAGTAGGGATGCAGAGAAGTGATACACCCAGGGGCGAGTTGGCCTATCTGTGAGCAGGTGGCATAGCCTCAGGTCATGAGTGGCATGCTGGGTGTGGCTGCAGCAGTTGTGATAATAAACAGTGCAGCACTCTGTTATCTTTCTGAGACCCTTGGCAGCCGGCTGCCGTCTCCTCACCTCCCAGTTGCAGATAAGCAGGTTTTATGACAGCCACCTGTGCCTGTCATTTCCCAGGATGGTTTCTGACATGAAAGTATCTCATCTCTCACTCAAATTAATTTTATGCCTGGCTTCCAGCAATGTTTTTATTACCTAAAGCATTACGACACATTATTCTTCAGTTCAAAAGGCAGGTTTTAAATATCTTCCAAAATTTAATCCACGTCAAAGAGTTCACCTGCTCAACATGCAGGTTGTTTCTGTCTGAATTGGTCAGGATTAGCAAAAACAATTCTGAAGAAACATTTAAAGAGTTGTAGCAGTGGCACAGTGAGCAGCTTGTTAAAATGCTAAACTGGAACAGGGCATGGGTGGTGCACATCTTTAATCCCAGCACCTGAAAAAAAGTCAAACTGTAGTTCTTAGCCCTCCTTCAAGGGCCTGTGGTAGCCCCAGTATCATCCCCTGTTGTTAGTGGTCTTCTGAGATCTCTGATCTCATAAAGAGCACACTGACTATCCTCAAAGAACAGAACAGGTCCCCACTTCTGTCACTGAGCATATGGTTCAGAGGCTGAGGGGCCAGTGAACTCTTTTACTTGAAATATTTGCTGTCAGGAAAGAGTTTGGTTAAAGGTACCAAATCTGTAACCACAAGTAAACATGAAGTTTGCACAACCCAAAACAGATACAGGGGGCTGAGCTGTATGAAACAAGTCACTGCAGCGCCAGGTCTTCACAGTCACTGGGTCACTGTGGTCTTTCTGACATGATGTGTGTGTTGATAAATGCATATATGTATTCATGGAGGCCGGAGGAGGGTGTCAGGTGTTCCTATCACTCTCCACCTTATTCCTTTGAAGCAGGGTCTCTCCCTGAATCGGGAGCTTGCACTTTTTGACTAGGCTGGCAGCCAAAAAGCCCCACTGATCCTCCTGTCTTTGCCCCTCACGTCATCACTGGGGTTACAGATGCATGCAACCACACTTAGTTTGTTACATGGGTGCTGGGCTCCAAACTCAGGTTCTCATGGTTGTGCAGCAAGCTCTCTTAATTGCTGAGCCATCTCTCCAGCCTATTATGAGGTTTTTAATTACCAAGAAGTAGAACTTGGTTCAGTTATATCTGTGAATCATTCTTTGAATTGTGGTCTTTATTCAAAAGAAAGCCGCAATTTGTGCTTTAGAGCTGGCATGCCATGGGCATTATCCAAGAAGCTAGAAGGTTTTATATGGGATCTCTCAGAACTGAGCTGTCTGATTCAGCTTCGTTTGAGTAGCTGGTAGAGCATCTTTTTGAGTGTATGTCCAGTCCTGGGTCTGGTCTTGCCCAAGTCGATCCTCCAGCCCAAGCTGACACAGCTTCCATTGCTATCGCTTCTTTCTGTCAAATGTGATCTCATGACAGCATCATTACAGCATAAAATCCCAGAAATGGAAGTGATTTTACTATCTAGTTGATTATTTAATCTGCAGCTTACAAGGTGAAACTGATGCTCAAAGAGAAAGCCAGTTAATGGTAGAAGGCAGGCTGAGCCCAATTCCCAACTGCCTCTGAAACTTCAAATGCTAAGGATCTGGACCTATATGCAATTTTTCTTTTTCTTCTTTCTTTCTTTCTTTCTTTCTTTCTTTCTTTCTTTCTTTCTTTCTTTCTTTCTTTCTTTCTTTCTTTCTTTCTTTCTTTCTTTCTTTCTTTCTTTCTTTCTTTCTTTCTTTCTTTCTTTCTTTCTTTCTTTCTTTCTTTCTTTCTTTCGGCAGAGTCTTGCTATGTAGCCCAGGATGGCCATGAACTCTTGATCCTCCTGCCTCACCCTCCTGAGCAGCTAGGATTATACAGGCATGCACTACCATACCCAGCTAGATGCAAAGTTCTCAGTCTTGAACCATATGCAAAATTCTCTATCATTTTAGAACAACAGTATTTTGCAAACTCTCTCTTTACTTACAGATTCCTCATTAAACCTTCCTGTTATCCCCTGCAGATTTCAAGTTGCCATTCTTACCTGAATCAGTGGTGGCAGTATCCACCATGCTGAACTGACTTTTTTAAAAATGACATTTGTGCCGGGCATGGTGGCACAGGCCTTTAATCCCAGCACTCGGGAGGCAGGGGCAGGCAGATCTTTGTGAGTTTGAGGTCAGCCTGGTCTACATAGTGAGTTCCAGGCCAGCTGGTGCTACAGAGACATCCTGTCTCAAAAAGGAAAAAAAAAGAAGACATTTGTTTATTTGTGGACTGTCACAGTAAGTACACATGTGAGGTCAGAGGACAATTTTTGAGAGTTGGTTCTCTCTACCATTGGGGTCTCAGGGTTTGAACTCAGACCATCAGGCTTGACAGCAAGCACCTTGTTGAAAGATCACACAGGGGCAAAAGCAGAGCTACACGCTGTTCTTCAGGAGCTTATCATTCCCAAGAGGACATGGCAAATGTCCAGGGAAAGGCTAGAGCTGTCCAAGTGTGGATGCAAATGAGTGATTGAGGTAATACTAAGAGAAGGAGGTGAGAGTTCACGAGGCTAAAGCTGTCCAAGTAGGCGTCTTGCAGGAGGAGCTGTTTCCTTGCTATAAAGTATGGGTTGAATTTGCCTGCTGTTTTCTAGGAAGGTTAGACATGGAAGAATTTTCAGGATAATGATTTGGTAAAGACAATGGGGAGAAGGTAGAAAGAGAAATGGGGCTAGTCTGTTCAGGGTGGCTGTCCATTAATTCCTTGATTTAAAGCTATACTCAAAGATGCCTCCCTCAAGCAGGTGCTTATAGCTCAGTGGTATAGGACTTGCCTAGCATGCCCAAGGCCCTGAGTTCCATCCCCAGCACCACTAAAAGTAATAAATAAAAAATAAAGCTATATTCTCTTCCTAGGTCCTAGAACACAGGCCTGGCTATCTTAATTCTTACCAAGTTTCCCTTTTCTTCGCTTGGGTCATGAGATCCAGGACTGAGCTGTGTTTTGGTATGGTGTCTGTATGAGGGGTAAGGTCTATTGAAAAGGATGTGTTCTACCAAGTTATCCTTCATATCTTTTCTCCACAGTGGGATCCTGAAGATGTCATCCTTGAAAGGGACAAAGACAGCATGGAGCTCCTTAGATCCCAGATGCACAGGGATTCTTTGAGTCCAGTGGACTTGACCTCTGATGGTTAACATCTTCAGGAGCTAGTCCATCAGCTCAAAACCCAAGGTCATGCATTTATCAGTGACTAAAAGGTGTTCCCTACAGGGACACCTTTGGCAGGAGTTTAAGCTGCTACAGAAGCCTCCCAGGGAGTGAGGAACCTGGAGCTGTCACTAAGCTTGGCTGGTCTACACTACTACTCAGAATGAAGATAAGACTCTGGGTCCTATGGACAGATCTGTACATGCCCAGTTTATTCTGAAGATCAGCAGGTCACAGAATGATCCTGCTTTGTAAAGATAAACCTTCTTCCAAAGGACATGGAACGTATTCCCATCAGATTCAGCCATACATATTTCCTGCTTAATATTAAGACTGAGCTCACCTAAGAGCTACTGTTTTGATTTCAGCAGAACCTATCCCTCCAGACTTGTCTTCAGTACAGATGGAAAGAAGGGGTCAGCCAGCTAGGGGACCTGTGCACATACACAAGAATTGAAAAAAAACCTGGCTTCTGCCTGACAGTCACTAACTTAGCTGCTACATGTTATATTGGATGGCTTGGTTGGCCAAGTATCTATGAGACTGCTAATACTGCAAGGCCAACAAAGCCAACTGCTCTGGCTAACAGGACTCCCTCCAGCCCAGTAAAGTATGTGCTGAGGCAGGTCTGCAACTGAGGGGACTTGTGTGCTTCAGAAGGTAGTGGGAAGCATGCAAAGATAAGGACATGATAGGAAAAGCAGTTTCAAGTACAGGAAGCCCGTTTTAGGATGATTTTGCTACTGTGACTATGAGTGAAGAGAAGAGCAGGAGCAAACACCGGAGTGAATAAACTTCGGTTGAATGAATTAAAATACCTCACAGGAGTAGGTCTAAATCCTAGCACAATCACAGAAGTCTGCCACAAGGGGAACTGGGAGAGATGCCAAGAAGCACAGCTCTGCTCCCAGCTGGCCTGTAACCATCTGTGACTCAGCTGTAGTTGCCCAGTTTCTCCTCAGGGGTGGTGCAAGTCCCAACAGTGTGAAGAATGGGGTGCTGGTGGTAGTACGTTGGCTGCACAGGTTTCTGCATAGATCCCCCCCCCAGGTGACCTCTGAGCTAGAAGTGAGTTTTAACCCACTTTGTCTGCTTTGAGTCCTCTGTTCTCTTGTGAGAGTTTGCTGAAGTCAGCTTTGCTTTACAATCTTAACCACTGAAACTGTGCTTTGAAGAAAGAGTTGAAAGGGGGATAAGGGTGGAATCTCATCAAGGAAGGAGAAATCTGACATGGTCAGAATGGATGGTGCAACATGGGTTTTGAAAGGAGGGAGCTGGAAAGGAATTAGACTGTGGAGGCTAGGGAGTTAGTACTTGGTCTGTAGCCATGGAAGATTCCAGAATAGGAAGGTGACTGAAGTAGGCCACAGATAATTGGTGAGTTTCTCATCCTTGACTTTTCATGAAGCAGGAATGTAGTCACTGATAAAGAATGAATATGGGGCACATGATTAATGCCTATTGCTTTTTTAAAAACAGGGTCTATATAAGAGTTTAAGCTGACCTCAAAAATCATGATTCTCCTGCTTCAGTCTTCCAAGTTCTGGGATTATAGGCCTGCGCCACTATGCCTAGCCTAGTTTTCATTTTTAGATGGAGAAACATGTACTCAAAGACAGTAACCAAAGTATCAGACCCACAAATGGAAGGTATCCCCCAGCAACCACAGTAAATGCTAATCCAGGCCCTGCTTAAGCTCCTAGGAGTAGGGGGTCATTTATCTGCCAAAGAAATCTGTATAATTTAGGGAGAGCTCTGATTACTTGGTTTTCTTAAAAACTTATCTAGAGGGCTGGGGGTATGTAACTCTGTTGGTTGAATGTTTGCCTAATATACAGGAAGCCCTGAGTTTTATCACAGCATAAACTGGGTGTGGTGCTGCATAACTGTAATTGGGAGGTGGATGCAGGAGGGTCAGAAGTTCAAGGTCATCTATCCTCCTGGGATACATGAGACCCTCAAAAAACAAAAAACGCCCGTCTAGATCTTGAAAAAGTAACGTCCTTATCTTCCTCCATGAGAAAACTTTTTGAGGACCATCTGATGACACACCATCACATGTTACAATAAAGTATGAGTTACTAGTCTACAGAGGCATTGGGCCCAGGGCCATGACCAGCCTCCTGTTCCCAGGTCTGACTCAGTGTACTGTCATTTTCCTTTCTTGGTCATAGTTTCCCTATCTATAAAATGAAAGTTAAGCCAAGCATGGTGGCTTACACTCATTATTCCTACACTCAGAAAGCTGGGACAGGACAACTGCCACACGTTCAAAGTCAGCCTGGACTACAGAGTGGACCCTGCCTCAAAGAAGAAAGAAAGAACTGACAGAGCTGGGCATATAGCTATAGCTCAGTGTTAGAGAACTTGCCAAGCATTCACAGGGCCCTGGGTTCCATCCCCAGCAAGGCCAAAAACAAAGCTAGTTTCTTTTTTTAAATAAATATGCCTATCAGTATTTCACATAAGACTGACCTCTACCATATGGTATGGTTGCACACTCCTTCAATCCCAACACTTGAGAGGCAGAGGCAGGCAGATCTCTGTGAGTTTGAGGGTAGCCTGGTCTACATAGTGAGTGCCAGACCAGCTGGGGCTACAGGGAGATCCTGTCTCAAAAGACCAAGACTGACATCTTTATAAAACCTCAGAAAGAGACATTATAATATTAAGACAAATTTCAGATACAGCTTGGAAAAAGCTATCATTATATGACATACTTCTGCTTACAAGTTTATTTTTTACAGATACAGCTTGGAAAAAGCTATCATTTTAAAACATACTTCTGTATGTTTTTGTTTTTTACATTTGTTTATTTTGCGTGGGGCACATGCATCACTGGTGCAGGTGTAGAGGTCAGATTACAACTTTTGGGAGTTCTCTTTCCATCAGGTGGGTTCAGGGAATCAAAGTCAGGTAGTCAGGCTTGGTGATAAGTGCCTTTACCCAGTAAGCCACCTCCTTAGCCAACCTACTTAAATTTCACTATCCGTTAATGACAAATACTAAGGCTATGGTATAGCTCACTGGTAGAGTATTAGCCCTGGGTTCAAGTCCTAGTATCAAAACCAGACAAGAACCACCACCAGAAAAACAAACAAACCTTCACAATATTTCCAAAGTTCTCTGTACTTTTTTTCTTCAGCTCCTTCACATTTTGCAACTGTGCAGGCATTGATCTACACTCCTCCACCCTTCCCCCCCCCAAGCAAAAAGTCTGTGCATGGGTCTGGGTGTACTGGAACACGCCTTTAATCCCTGCACTGGGGAGGCAAAGGCAGAGATCTCTGTGAGTTCAAGGCCAACCTGGTCTATAGGGAGTGCAGGGAGACCCTTTCTAAAAATAACAACAGCGTTTAAGCAGGTGCAGAGGAAGCTCTGCTCTGAACAAACCCAAGTTGTACTGTAGTGTTGAAGATCTCTTTAATCTGTTTCCGTGTGCCTGTCAAAGATTATCAGATGAGGCTGGAGAGATTGCTCAGTGGTTAAGAGCACTGACTGCTCTGCAGAGAACCCAGGTTCAATTCCCAGCACCCACATGGTGGCTAACAACTGCCATTAACTCCAGTTCCAGGGTATCCGTTACCTTCTTCTGGCCTCTGAGGGCTTGCAGGACATGGGTGCATTTATGCACATGCAGGCAATACACACACACATAAAATATTATTAAAAAAAAAATTTTAAAAGATCAGATGGATCTAATCGGAACAGGGCCTGGTGATCTAATCAGATGGATGTCTAATCGGAACAGGGCCTGGTGGCACAGGTCTATAATCCAAGCTGCTACTGAGGCTGAGGCAGAAGGATGGCAAGCCTGGTCAACGTGACAAAAACCAGTCTCAAAAGAAGAAAAAGTGGGACTGGAGGAATGGCTTAGTGATTAAAAGCACTGGCTGCTCTTGCAGAGGACCCGGGTTCAGTTCCCAGCACCCATGGAGTGGCTAACAACCCTTGGTAACTCCAGTTTTAGGGAATCAGACGCCCTCTTCTGGCCATTGTATGACATGGGTGCACTTATACGCAGGCAAACTACTCATACACATAAAAAATAATGATTTCTTTTTTTAAAGAAAAAGTTAAAAACAGGCTGGGCATAAAACCTCAGAGGTAAAGTGCTTGCCTAAAATCCCCAGTACCGGAGAGTTTAATCTGCCTTTTCTTTACCTAACTCGGGACGTGCTTTGGAGCAGGGCGGGTGATTAAACTGCATCAACTTCCCCAGTCCCAGGAGAGCCTGCCAGCCACTTCCTCTGCTGCAAGCACTGGCTATGGTGGCTGACGGACCTAGTCCTTCTCCCGCGGGGCGCGGGCCCCTCCTGATTGGATTCCCGTGATCACCGAAACCGCTCCAGAGGGACAGGAAGTGCTGTCCTCCAGCGGTAGGGTCCCTGAGAACCGGTGAGCCACAGTTGCGCCACCGTGGGGCACTTCCGGGAAAAAAGGAGGCCAACGCATGCGCATTCTGCAGCCACCGCCTCCCCACCCCTTGAGCTCCTTGCTACAGGTTTTGGGTTGTTGGGCTCCTGTCTGGCCTTTCAAGGCGGGCACCACTGGCTTAAGTGTTCTTGCCCTGGGTTTTAAAGAGATAGGTACAAGGTTATTCTGTGGTTCTAGTGTATTTGTGTCTGAGCAACAGCCTGAAGCTGGACTGTAGACCGTTCCACCTGACTACATTAATTTTTTTTAAAAAGCAGTGCCGATGCATGGTTTTAACAAAAGGAAATCCAGTGTGACAAAGTCTATGAAGAAAACAACAGCGGGCCGCCCAACTGTTCTACCCCCAGCTTCCATTAGATTATTTTGCAGTGCAGGGCCTCAATGTTCTAGAGTTGTGCCAGAAACAGACACTTTTGTGTCTTTCCACAATGTCATAATTTATTGAACTTGGTAGTCCGGATTTCCCTTTATAGCAGGCAATTGGCAAACACAGGTTCTTTTTTTTCTTTTTAAAGATATTTTATTATTTTTATTTTATGTGTATGAGTGTATTGCCTGCATGCGTGTAAGTGTACTAGTGTCATGCAATGCCCTCAGAGGTCAGAGGAGGGCGTCGGATCCCCTTAAACTAAAGTTATGGACAGTTGTTAACTGCCATGTGGGTGCTGGGATATGAACCCAGGTCTTCTGCAAGAGCAGCCAGTGCTCTTAACCGCTGAGCCATCTCTCCAGCCCCAAGATAGATTTTTTTGTAAACTTTTCAGTTATCAGAAAATAACCAGGGCCCTGCATAAAATGATGTCAGAAACAATATTAATGAAAAAAATTGCTTTTATCTTTTTAAAGAGAAAAGTATTGACAAAGCCACAGTACAGCAATTATAATAACACTGGCCAGTACGCAGGACGGAACGCATTAATGTTAGCAGTGTGTTCATGGCTTGCATTTCTTTACCAGTGGGTTGACATACTCGGGATTTAGAGACAGAGGTACTTTTTTTAAAAAACTGTGCTTGCTCTTCTGAGACATGGTCTTGCCGTGTAGCATAGACTGGCCTGAAGCCTACGATCCTCCCCCGCCAGCCCTTTGCATGTGGGAACATTGCTGTACTAGGTGTCTTCTTTTGGGCAGTCCAGGTAAAGGTGTTAGATCCTTTTGTTGGTCTGGTGTGTTTTTCTGAGAAGGTTTTAATTATACCCATATGTTCTCAACCTATTTTGATAAATTTATATGATAAATTTGTACTTTCAGGAATAAGTTGTTCATCAGTCTGTGACTCCTGGGTGTTGCTGGACACATGGTGGTGTCTACATGCACAGTAACATGCAGACTCACCCTGCCTTGGCATCTGCACTAAAAATGCTGCCAAATGCTGCTTGTGAAGACACAGCCTGAAAGCCACTATTTCACACAGTATGGAAAGACTCAGACCAGGGAACAGCCTGATCTCCACTCCTGCACATTGTAGGCAGGCACACCACCACTTAGCTACATCCTTAGATTCCAACCCACTTCCTACATACAACGTTCCAAGACTGTAGTTTCTTAATATGTTGTCTCCCAACTTCCACTAAACTCAAGGAAGCAAATAGGCTAGGGACACCAATAGACAGAGAAGGGAAACATCCAGCTACACATCCAGAGTTGTTGTGGAGGCCTTCCTGCCAGGACCTCCTGGTTATTCACCAACTAGAACCCAGTTTCTGGATCCCCAGGTCATGTGGGCCTGAGCCCTTTCCAATCAACATATGCCTTTGAGGCAACCTGACAAGCTCTACTCTGCTCTGACTTGAATGGTTCCTCCATCTTTCTCTTCCTGCCTGTCTTAGTACTTGGAGCCTCCAGTACAAGCTACAACCAGAACAAAGTCCCTCACACACTGTTGTCACCACTCTGCTTTCCAAAGACTTCCTGGCTGTGTATGAAAAGAGCCATTCACAGCACTCGGGAGGCTTAGGCAGGCAGATTTCTGTGAGTTCAAGGCCAGCCTGGTCTACATAGTGAGTTCCAGGACAGCTGGAGCTACAGGGAGACGCTGTCTCAAAAAGACTGAAAAAAAAGAAAAAAAGGAGCCATTCCAACATTCCATAGGCTTTAAATTCTGACTAACACACTTACAGATTGTGAATAACCTAGAGCTCTGCAACTCAAATATAGGGGCTTAAGCTCTGCCCCTGATGATTTCCTAGGTCTGGACAGGGCCTGGGAATGCTGGTTTCTCAAATGATTGTTTTTTTTCTTTCCTCCTCCTCCTCCTCCTCCTCCTTCCTCTTCTTCCTCCTCCTCCTCCTCCCCCCTCTCCTTCTTCGTGTGTGTGTGTGTGTGTGTGTGTATGTGTGTGTCTTTTTGAGACAGGGTCTCCCTATAGCCCCAGCTGGCCTGGGAACTCACTTGTGTAGACCAGGCTGGCCTGAAACTCACAGAGATCAGCCTGCCTTTGCCTCCCAAATTCTGGGATTAAAGGTATGATTAAAGTGATTTCTTGTAGGCAGCCTAGGAACACTCTGAGGAATGATCGCCTTAGGATGCTTTTAGTTTTATGGACAGGATCTTGCTATGTAACTCAGGCTGGGTCACTATGTTAGCTAGGCTGGCCTAGAACTCAGTCCTCCTCCCTCAGGAACCAGAGTGTTAGAATTATAGGGGTGAACCATCACACTTCACCAAAATAAAATCAAGTTTAAGCTATTCTAGCAAGCATGAGGTCCTAGGTTTAATCATTAGCACTCTAGGGTAGAGCACAAACCCCTCACCTATTGGGGAAGATAAAGCATTCTGCTTTAAGACATGACATCTTGCTATTAAACCTAAGAAATTGGGCTAGAGAGATGGTGCAGCGGTTAAGAGC